CAGCTGAGAGGTGTTTTAAAAGCTTTTATTCCATTTTCAGTCTCATGTGAAGGGTGAGACAATACAGATGTTAGAATTCACCCCATCACAACCAGAAGCCAGCTATTTCCTAATTAGAAGACATTATAAACATTTCTTGGTCATTCAGCTTTTTGTTACATTCTGCTGTAGATGCTTTAAAACCAATAATCTAAAACTACTTCTTGTGGGTCTCACTACAGTGTAAGGCACTACAAATCCATTTCCCAAACCTCAGGAGCCCCAGAGGGAATGTTCACCTTGACAAACCAGACTCTCACTGGGGGAGGATCTCCTGTGGAGATGCCAATGCAGAGCTGCCTCTGCAAAAACCATCCAGATCTGTCCTTCCTCCCACCTCCTTTTCCAGCACAGAGTGCTGGAAATGTGAGATGAAGATGAGCAAGGCCATTTCCCAGTCACATTCCTGCTCCATCATCCCACAGCTGGGAGCTTCCCTGCTTTGAGACACACTGAGTCTGGATTTGTCCTGAAGACTTCTCTACCCAGGGGAAGCTCTTATTTGTTGTTTGTCCTTGGTGTAGTTACCCTAAACCTGTTTGTCTTGAGGGAAGATCACTCAGCAACCCCAAGCTGCTCCTGAGAGATGTCAGGGAAAGAAAACACCAGGACAATTTTATTTCAGGGTTGTACCACCCCCTCTTCATCACCTACAGCTGGAAGTCAGTGCCTCTTCTTCCTGCAGCCCCCTCCATCCCTTCCAACACGCATTTTGAGAGGGGTTTGAATGCTCCTTTTCCAGCAGTGTCATTTATCTCCACGTGTCTCAGACCCTGAGCTCAGAAAAACCCAGGCGAGGCTGCAAAGAAACAGATTTCAGACTTTTTCTGCACAAAAATAACACCCCTTGGCCCTCAGTGAGGACCCTGGGGTGGTTTCCCAAATGCTCCATCCCTGGGAATGTCCAAATCCAGGTGGGACAGGGCTTGGAGCAGCCTGGGACAGTGGGAGCTGTCCCTGCCCATGGCAGGGGTGGCACTGAAGGGGATTTAAGGTTCCTTCCAACCCAAACCATGGATTTCCATGAATAAGACTTGGATCATTGTTTTGTCCATGGTCCATCCTGCAGCTGATTATCTGGATGCAGATGGAGCCAACTCCTTGGCTCTCGGGTTTCCTGTGTTCAGGATGACCCCAAGAGTTCTTTTTTCCCAGCCCGATGGTCGAAGAAAGTCGGAATTGTTCAGCTCTGGGTCACAAGGTTGTTCATTGTCTCTTATCTAAAATATTTTTTCTCAGACACACAGAGCTCTGTCTAGCAGATCTGTCTAAGGCACACTGCCTGCCCTGGGCTGGTGTCTACATTTTGTACTACGAATTACGTGTACTTTATCATTATTTTCCAATACCTATCACCTATGTTAGACTGTCTACTTCTATTCTAAACCAATCCAAATGTGCCACCATCACCCAGAAGATGGAGGCTAGGAAGAAGAAGGAAGAAGAACAGGACAATGCCCAGATCCCTCCATCTTGCCTCCTAGACCCCCTATAGTAAAATCCCCAAAATTCCACTTTTCACCCAGTGATTAACTCATTATCACTGTACTTAAACTTCTGTGCCTTGTGATTCTTCATACAAGGCTGGTAATTTGCTGCATGGGTTAGGATTGAAATCCCAAGTGTCTTTGGCTTCCTGCCAGGACTCCCCAGCCCCTGCCAGAGGGGTGTCCTGGGTTCTGACACTTGCCCTGCTCTGGAACCTCCCTCAGCTCTCTCCTGTCTCTGCTGGGAGATGCTGGCACTGTTGGATCCCCATCCCTGCAGCCCCCAGGAATTCCCAACACCCCCTATGGTTCTGCACACATCCCTGCTCCAGAGCAGGCTGCTCCTCTTCTCTAGCCCTGGCCTCCCATCCTGCTAAACCGAGCCAGATAATTGATCAATAATCTGTGGCAGAAAGCTGGGCTGTAAACCTGAGTGATGGGGGATTGAAGGGGCCATCCCTTGGGCCATCACAGAGTTTTATGTCCGGTCATATCTTGTGGAATAAAAATAAAACCTGACACAACATGCTGAATTATCCTCTGATGGGGAAGAGGGCTCCTGGCTGGCTGCAGTTGTTGCAGTGATGTCCACATTGTTGTTGTTGGCCATAATTAATTCCCCTGCTGGCAGGCTGAGCGTGGAACCTGCTCCTGGATCCCTGACTCCTCTTCCGCCTCAAGCAACAGGATCAAGGCATGCAGACAGGATGTTCCCAAAAGGAGCAGGGAATTATTTTTTGGGTGCTGTTAATTCAAACCCAGGATGAAACAGCGACAACAAAAGTTTTCACTCAGCCTTTTGTAAAGGGAAGGAAGGGACAAAAGGAGCGTTTCTTACACCCCCACAAGTTGTTTTTTGGATTAGATTGACACTTCTGGGAACAACCTGTTTGCATACCAACCCCTCTCTTGCTAAACATCTTCATTAATTAACTCCATCTGGCTCGCCTGCCTTTAGATAGAGAAGATCTCTTGCTTTGATCATTTGCTATTTACATCTTTCTTGCCGTTTGGTAAAACACACAATAAATACTGTGTGGCACAAAACAAACAAAAAAAAATCCTGAAACATGCTGAAAAACTGTCAAACACCTACAAAATGTAGATTTTCTGATCCTGATCAGATCCTGATCCAGCTCAGTTTCCCTTGAGGACAATGGAGCCAAAAACCATGTGGATGGTTCAAGGTGGGGTTTGCCACCTCCAGGTGTTTCTGGAGCCCCTCCAAGCCACCTCCATCATGGTGTGGCCCCAAAACTCCTTTCCTGCAGACCTGGTCTTGCAAAGACTTGGGAGCAGCTCCTGGAGGAGAGGGAGACTGTGATGGTGGGGTCTGGATGCCCCATCCATCCTCCATCCTTCCTTCACCACTTTCCTGGGAAGCAGAGCGGGATTTGCACGGCCTGTGCCTGTGAGCACCCTGTGAGTTTTGGGGTTTTTTTCTGTGCCCAGGATGGTGTTGGCTGGAGCATGGGGTGGAGAAGGGACCAGAACTCCTCAGGAGGGCACGTGATGGATGCCTGAGGCCAGCTGCTGCAGGAGGCAATGCTGAGCAGAGCATTTTCATGGAGTGTTTTCCCTGTCCTGCTCTCGTGGTTTCAGGGCAGATTCCCTGTGGTGGGTAACTCCAGAGGATGAGACTAAAGGGAGCTCCCTTCTGACCCTTTATCAATTTGCAGCAGCCCCCCCAGGATGTCCTGGCAGACTCCCCAGGCAGTGCCAGGGCTCAGCAGGGCTCCGTGGCATTCACACCCTCTGAACTTGATTCCTTCACCTTTCTCCTGGGAAACTGAAAGGCAGAGAGAGGCCTTGGAGAAAAGGAAAACAATTCTTACCTCATTTGCTTCTCCTGTGTTGTGCTCATGTGGAACGTGGTTGGAGATTGTTTACCCACAGGTGATTGTCTCATTGGTTTCTGTGAGTTGTTTTGACTCTTTGGCCAATCAGTGCCAAGCTGTGTCAGACTCTGGAAAGAGTCACAGGTTTCATTATTATCTTTTTAACATTCAGTAAGTATCCTTTCTGTATTTTTTAGTATAGTTTAACATTCTTTAATATAATAAAATAATAAATTAGCCTTCTGATAAGATGCATCATTGTCTCCCATCGTTGGGCTGCTGCATTTACAACAGGGCTCAGTTTGCCACTCCCCGGGGCTGGGATGTGCAGACTGACCCTGTCCTGCCCCTGTCCTGCTTTTCCTGCCCATTCCCACCCCAGGTGCTCTCCCAGAGCTCTGTGTCCACCCTGAGCATCCCTGGGATGCTGGGGAAAGGGTTTCCATGGTGACAGCACACTGAAAATCTCTCAGCACATTCTTTTCCCCAGTTTTTCCCCCATCTTGGGTGGCAGAAGGGCAGCCAGGCTCCCCCCAGGCTCCCCACACACCCCAAACCTGCCCCATCCAGCTCCCATCCCAGCCATTCCCCCTGGGATGGGAAGGGAGCTCCTTCCTCTTCCCAACCCCTCAGGTAAAATGTAAAAGCATCAGGCACTGGAGTTTGGGGTGCAGGGGTGGGCGGGATTGCTTACAGCTCTCCCCAAACTCTGCTGAGGCTGAGTGAGGCTTTTCCCTTGGCCAGGAGCTGTGCAGCCAGGGCTGATCTCAGGGCAGGAGGGGAGCCATGCTGATCCCAGCTTTGGAGCTCCTGAGGAACAACCTGGCGTCTGTTTTGTTTTATTTTTTTTTTTTACAGAATTCCTCCTTCAGCCCTCTCTGCCCCTTTCTCTGTTTGAACAACTTCCACCCTTGGAGTGTGAGGAGGACTCTGCAGTCAGGTGGCATTTCCAGAGCAGAGGGTGCAGAAGAGCCCAGGGCTGCTTGTCTACCCCAAATAAAACAGGAAAGAGATCATTCAGCTTGGCAAAGTTGTGTTTCCATGATGAAATTTCCTCATTTTCCAGAGCAGAGTGACCAAAGCCAGTCTGTGTTTTGGGAATGCCAAGGCTTGGAGCAGCCTGGGATAGTGGAAGGTATATGGGAACAGGATGATCTTTAAGGTCCTTCCCACCCAAACCATCCCATGGTTCAGAGTCCTTTAGCCCAGGGAAGAATTCCCAGGGCTGCCCAGTGGCTGGGAGGCTGCTCAGGGTGCTCTGAGGCTGTGACAGAGCTGCCAGAGCTTAAAAGGGCGTGTGAGCTGGAGTTTGCTCTGTGCCCTGACCCCGCCTGGTTTGCTGGGCCTGTCTGCTCCTGGGGAATGACAACAGCTGGGCATTGACCTGAGGACACATCTGGACACATCTCCCCAGTGGTCACTCCTCGTGTGTGCTCTGATTCAAAAGGCAAATGCTTATTCTGGTCCTTTTCTGAGGGTTCCTGAGAGGTGACAGCCATTTAAAAATTCAGATTTAAAATATAGACAAGAGCAGGATGCTGGAGGTTCTGTAATGGAGATAAGGAGCAAAGGAAGGCTGGGCTGGGGGAATCAGGGGATCAGCACCCACATTCTGAGCTGGGGGAGCATGGGGTGCTCAGGGAGTTTTGGGGTAACTGATGGGCACTGGTTTGAAGTTCACTGGTTTGAAGTTCACTGGTTTGATAGTTACTGGTTTGATGGGCGTTGGTTTGATATTTACTGGTTTAATGGGCACTGGTTTGTTGGGCACTGGTTTGCTCTGCACTGGTTTGATATTCACTGGTTTGATGGACACTGGTTTTTCAGGCACTGGTTTGATGGGCACTGTTTTTTTGTGCCCTGGTTTGCCCTGCACTGGTTTGATATTCACTGGTTTGATGTACACTGGTTTTTCAGGCACTGGTTTGATGGGCACTGTTTTTTTGTGCCCTGGTTTGCCCTGCACTGGTTTGATATTCACTGGTTTGATGTACACTGGTTTGCCCTGCCCTGGTTTGATATTCACTGGTGCCCTGACCCCGCCTGGTTTGCTGGGCCTGTCTGCTCCTGGGGAATGACAACAGCTGGGCATTGACCTGAGGACACGTCTGGACACATCTCCCCAGTGGTCACTCCTCGTGTGTGCTCTGATTCAAAAGGCAAATGTTTATTCTGGTCCTTTTCTGAGGGTTCCTGAGAGGTGACAGCCATTTAAAAATTCAGATTTAAAATATAGACAAGAGCAGGATGCTGGAGGTTCTGTAATGGAGATAAGGAGCAAAGGAAGGCTGGGCTGGGGGAATCAGGGGATCAGCACCCACATTCTGAGCTGGGGGAGCATGGGGTGCTCAGGGAGAGTTTTGGGGTAACTGATGGGCACTGGTTTGAAGTTCATTGGTTTGAAGTTCACTGGTTTGATATTCACTGGTTTGATGGACACTGGTTTTTCAGGCACTGGTTTGATGGGCACTGTTTTTTTGTGCCCTGGTTTGCCCTGCACTGGTTTGATATTCACTGGTTTGATGTTCACTGGTTTGATATTAACTGGTTTTCTGTGCCCTGGTTTGCCCTGCCCTGGTTTGATATTCACTGGTTTGATGTACACTGGTTTGCCCTGCCCTGGTTTGATATTCACTGGTTTGAAGTTCTCTGGTTTGATATTAACTGGTTTTCTGTGCCCTGGTTTGCCCTGCCCTGGTTTGATATTCACTGGTCTGATGGGCACTGGTTTGATGGGCATTGGTTTGCCCTGCACTGGTTTTCCTGGCCCTGATTTGGCAGAAAGGGAATATCAGCAGGTGAGCCTGGGCATGGTGGGGAGAGGCTCTGGCTGAATGTCTCTGTGAGAATGGAAGCACAGCCCTGTTGTACAGATTTCACAGCTTCCTGCAATTTCAAATATGCAGTAAAATAACAAAATTGCCTTTTCTTCACACCCAGAGCTGTTGTAATTTGCAATACTGCAGGTCTGGGTGCATTTTCTGTGGGACAAAGAGACCCCTGGGCCTGGCTGGCTGGGGAGTGAGAGGTGTCAGAAGGAAATGTCACAGAAGAGGATTTGGATGTTTGGATGAAGCCCCTGTGTTCTTCCAGACAGCTCCAGAAGATCCTTTCCCACCCTGGGGCGGGATGAACTTCACCTCACCCTTCCTGGCAGATGTTTGGCCAGTTTGCACCAGCTCTCATTTTGCCCATTAAAAGGGAACTATTTGGGATCAGTGAAGCATCTCTGGTCACGCTTTGGTGGCTGGCACCACACGGGCTGGCACTAAACCTGCTCCCTAAATCCAAGAGTTTACAGTGCCCTTGATGAGTCCATTTCCCAAACCTTCTGTTTTCACACCAACATTGGTTCAAAAAACCCTGCACTTACAGCCTGGGGTGGAGAAATCCAGGAGAAGAGCTGCACCCTGGTTTTAGGGAAAAGGGAGGGATTTATGCCCTCGGCAGCAGGGATATTACAGGGGCAGCAGGGAGCCAGTGCTCCCCATAAAATGTCTCCTTATCCTTGTAGGGAACATGGGAATACCCAGGGGCTGCTTCAAGTTTTCCCCTTTATTGGATCCCACAGGAATTTCAAGGGCTTCTGCTCCAACCTCGTGAGTTGGGCAATGACCCCAAAGTGATGCAGGTTTAGAAATGGGTTTGTGGTTATAAATCTGAGTTTAACTCTGATTAAATCCTCCCAGTCTCTTTGTGAGACCCGTGGGAATGCTAAGGAGAGTGTTTCTTATGGATTTCAGTGGATCTCTGCATGGGTGTTTCTGTCCAAGATTCAAACCAGCTGATCTGGGAGCTGGAAGTTGCTCCTGGTGCTTTTCTCTCCAAAAATCTGGTTAAAGGGAAGGAATTCTTCCCTGACACAGGTTTCCCAGAGCACCTGTGGCTGCCTCTGGATCCCTGGAATGTCCAAGGCCAGGCTGGACAGGGCTTGGAACTCCCTGGGACAGTGGGAGGTGTCCCTGCCATGGCAGGGGGCTGGAACTGGATAATTTTTGAGATTCCTTCCAATCCAAAGCATTCCATGGTTCCGTGATAAATCCAAATGTGCACTTGTACATTTTTCTGGGCAGTCAGGTCACAGCCATGACAAACAGGAGCAGGCTGGAAGGGCCCACCAGGGTGTGCAGACAGACTGGATCTCTGCGGGACACTCTGCCAGAGCCCAGTGACTTCTGCCAGGTGGGAAAGTCTCCCTAAATGACTCCTACTATTAAAAACCTCCTCATTGAATCCTATTTTTATAAAATTGGTCCTTGTTCTTAGGCTCTTTGAAATGCTCAGAGCAGTCTGATAGCCATGATCTTAATAACCTTAAATGAACAATTGTTTATTAGGGTGGATTGTCTGGAGTTTCCAGGAGGAAGAGGATGGCTCAGCCTGGGAGAAGGAGCAGGCTGGAGAACATTGTGGTGTTTCAGACATCCAGGCTGGGGAGAAGACACCTTTTCCCTGTGGTTGCCCAGTGTCAGCTAAAAATGACCAACCAAGCTCTCTGGAATCCAGCTAAAGCTTCATTGTGTGCCCAGGACTCCCCCCACAAATGATGCTGATCACTGAAAGGGAAAAAGGATCAATGCTTGGCAGGGTTTAATAAACTCCAGGCCGTGCCAGCAGTCACACCTGGGCTGCAGTGAACTCCATCACCTTAAAGAAGTGGGGACACAGAGAGGGACAGGAGATCCTGGGAGCCTCTTCAAGAGCTAGGAAAAAAATGAGGATCTGTGGTCGTGGTCTGGCATCTTATCCCTCTCTAGAATCCTGGAATGGTTTGGGTTTTAAGGTTAAGGAACCTTAAAATCCCTGGGAGCCTCTTCCAGAGCTAGAAAAAAAAAAGTGAGGATCTGCAGTTGTGGTCTGGCATCTTATCCCTTTCTAGAATCCTGGAATGGTTTGGGTTTTAAGGTTAAGGAACCTTAAAATTCATCTCATTCCAACCCCCTGCCATGGGCAGAGACAACTTCCACCATCCCAGGTTGTTCCAAGCCCCATCCAACCTGGCCTTGGACACTTTCAGGGATCCAGGGGCAGCCACAGCTGCTCTGGGCAGCCTGTGCCAGGGTCTCCCCACCCTCCCAGCCAATAATTCCTCCCCAGTATCTTTCCTGTCCCAAATTTATTCTTCTTTTCCAAACCTAGCCACAGGGTAGGATTCACTCCCTCAGTGTCCCTTCCTTAAACTGGGGCTAAATAATTTTTAAAGGAAAATTGTGGATGCCAATGATGCCACTGAAGGTGACTGGGAAGCATGTTTCTCTCAGTGAAGGAATCCTTTGAATGCCCATCCCAGCCTGCATTAACCCAGCTGCTCCACTGCTCCACAGCTCTGCCAGCACTTCAACTTGAGTGGATGTGTGCCAGAGAGTGATGGATGTGTTGATTTTCCCTTTCTCTCTGGAGTTCAAACACTTTGCATTGATTTGTGTCCTCGTTTGGGTGCTGGGTGAGCAGCCAGGCTGGGAAGGAGCCCTGCCTGTCGTCCATCAAACCCTCCCAGAGCTTTGTCTTCATTCCCACTCGGCTGCTCCTGCGCGGAATTGGGGCTGGGCCCCTGCCAGGCTGTGCTGGGGCTGGAGCTGCTTCTGGGAACTCTTCACCACAGCCTCGTGAAACTGGGGCAGAAAAATGGCATTCAGGGTGTTAAACCCAGCCCTCTGCTCTGTGCTGAGTGCTGAGCTCAGGGATCTCAGCATCCAGGGGCTGGGAATGCTCTTCTCTGTGGAGAGGGCTGGGTGAGATCCCTGCGATGCCTTGAGTTTCAGCTTTCATATTTTCCAGATTCTGCATTAGTGTGTGACTCTGAGCTCCATATGAATTTCTCCTCACAGCTCAGTCAGACACAACAATCCTTTTCTAGCCCCAGAACCAAGGACAGCTTGGGTTTTGGGCAGCTTCAGGCCCAAAAAGTGCAAACAACAGCAAATTGAGGAGAGCAAACTGGGAGGATGTGACTGCATAACCTGCAGCTGGGATTGGACAATTAACCCTAATATGGAAATGCACCAAAACTTATAAAAGTGTGAAAACTCGTGACCTATTATCCATTTTGGTCCATCTTGGGTGTAGCCCTGGCTGGGCTCTTGCACTGCCTAAGGTGTGTCCTTTAAAGGCCTTTTAATAAATCCCCACTTTATTCTTTTAACTCTGTCCAGCCTCTGTTCCAGGCAGCCTCTCCAGATCACCTGGAGGCTGTGGATGATGCAGGGCATCTCTGGATGGAGCCTTGGCATCCTGGGCACAGAGAGATTGATCTCTTCCCTTTTCAGCTCTCTGTGCTGCTGCAGATTGTGCTCCCTGTTAATCCTTGTCTCCATCAAACATGGGACAGAAGCAGGGGGAGAACTGGTCTTTGTGCCTCTAAAGGAATTTTTTGGGGCAATTAATCCCATCCTCAGGATCCTCAGGGAGCTGCTTGCCTGCTGATCCCTACTCTTTGCTGGATACAGTTTTCTTTCATGAGACCAGTTTTTAATTCATTTACAAAAAAAGCTGGACAGGGAGAACCTGGAGTCCTTGGGGTTTGTTGGATGCTGGGTTTTTCCTGTCCCAGAACAGCCTGGCAGGAGCAGGAGGCTCAGAATTGTTTGGATTGGAAAAGACCCAGAGGATGACCCTGGATCCAGCCCAGAAGGGTTTGCACAGAGGCGCCCACTGCTCCCAGTGCTTGGCAGAAGAGCCAGGACCTGAATTTCCCAGGGAATCTGCTTCTCCTTCTCCCCCTGAGGAGCACTCAGGCTCTCCCTGCTCACCCAGCTGAGCTGCTCTGGAGACAGAAAACGTTTGCTGCAAAACCCTGGACACATGAAAAGTTTCTCCAAGGAGAAATACCCCCAGAAATGCCCTGCTAGAAGGCACTGAGGTAACCTTTCCCTAGCCAGGCTGTAACATCCCCTCCTTGGTCCTCATCCAGACCAAACCCTGCTCTTAGCAGCACCTGCCAAGAGATGGGGTGGATTTATGTAGCATTAAAATCACCAATTCCCAGGAAAATCAATTCCACGGGGTGCTGGGCTGTTGGAAAACCTCAGGCTGCAGCTGGGACATCCTGGGCTCTCTGGGTGATGTGACAATGGGGACATCTGTCCATGCTGGCAAGGCCATAACCAGTCAGAGCCAAAGGAAAAGTCAGATTTGTGACCTGGGGTGCTGAGTCACAGGAGGGAGAATCAATTCTCCCACTCTAATGGTAATTTTGAGGTGTCTCTTTCCCTCCTACCTCCTGGGAAGCTTTATTAGGGCTATTGATTAGGTTTTATTCATTAAACAGCAGTGGTGGGAAAAGGAAAAGTTGAGGAGAAGCTCCAACAACAAAAATCTTGCAGGTAAAACCCCCGGGGGTCTGTCCTGCCATTGGGGTGACCGTGGGGAGGGTGGGAGGTGAATTCTCCCAGTTTGGCTGCATTGTAACTTCCCCCAGTCAGGGTGTGGGTTTTATTTGCTTTGCTTGAAATGCTGTTGTTTGTTTGGATTTTTTTTTTTACTACTTGATGGTTGAGGGGTTTTCCAGTTTAAAATTTTCCCCCCGCCCTTTTAAAAAATTTTTTATATTTTTATTTTCAAGGGATGCACTGTAAGCTTTAAAGAGGTTGGGAGTTACATAACAGAGTTTGATTTTATTTTTACAGTGAGGGGCTAAGCTCTGTAAAGCCTCCACGAGCTTAAAAGACATCTTCCAGCATCCCTGTGTGCTATCCATGCTACCCAGCCCTGGGCTGTCCCTGGATTTTATCCCAGCAGCTG